GAACTGGGAGATCTGTCAATGTCGATTTTGATTGAGCAAACTCCCAGTTTGTTTAACTGAAGATCTGGGACTTGTTTAACGCTTCATGAACCAAATCCCAGGTGATGACAGACCAGCCAGCCTGGCACATGGGCAAGTTTTGCAGTGACAGACAAGCCAGCCGGGCAAATGGGCACGTTTTGCAGTGACAGACCAGCCAGCCTGGCATATGGGCAAGTTTTGCATTGATAGACCAGCCAGCCTGGCACATGGGCAAGTTTGTCAGTGACAGACCAGACAGCCTGTTACATGGGCAGGTTGTGCAGTGACAACCAGCCTGGCACATGGGCAAGTCTTGCAGTGAAAGACTAGTCTTGGGGGAATGGATTATTCCGCCATGTCTAGTCTTTCACTTACAGCTCCTGTTATCGCTGTAATCCACCGCCCTTATGGGTAGAGTGGATACAGCCTACATGTATGCGGATGACACTCAAATCTACTTCTTCGCCTCCTGCTTCTCCATTTACGTCTCCCAGTCCACCAATGTCCTGTCAGTTTGTCTGACAGACAACGAGGTCTGGATGAGCACAAACTTTCTGCAGCTGAACGTCTGCAAGACGGAAGCCACACCATTAGGCTCCCACCAACCTCTTCGTTCCTGTGCGTCCAAACCCCTCAACCTCCCCAGGATCTCGACCAAACGCACCAAACTCGTACATAACCTAGGAGTCAGGTTAGATCCACAGCTTTCCTGTCTTCCCCACATCCGATCCCTGACCAGGATCGTTTGTTTCCACCTCTGTTGCATTGCCCTCCTCTGACCATAACTCACACCCACAGCTTCCACCTCATCCGCGCCTTTGCCACCTCCCAGCTGGACATTCCAAATGCCCTCCATGTTCGTCTCCCAAGATCCACCATAAACGATATTCAATTAACTCCGCCATCCGGATACTAACCAACACAAAGCTCTGGAGTGTCATCACACCATTCCTTGCCAGGCTGCACTGGCACACAATTTCCGAACGGATCGACTTCAAGTTCCTTTCTCTCATTTTCAAATGCCGACATGCATTTCACCGACATACTCAACCCCCAGTCCTACACCCCCTGTCTCAGCTTGGCCTGCTCCGGCCTCCTGTTTGGCCCTCGCCCCTTCCGCTCCACCATCGGTGACCGTCCCTTCAGCCACTACGCCACAAAGCTCTCTAAGTCTCTCCCTCAATGCCTCCACCTTGCCACTGGCTCCCCAGTTGAAGGGAGGGGCGTGAAGGCCAGTTGTTATTGAGTGGTCCCAGCGAGATAAACAATGGACACATATTAGGTTCAGTGCTCTGAATAGTTTTAGCTGTGTTGCTTTTGTGATAAACTACCGCAGTGAGACACAACATAAACGCTGGATACCCCATAGACATCTTTTCATCTAAAATATGTAATATCCGACAGGCAGCCTCATCCACCTGCCTCTTGTCGCCCACCACCAACCCTCTCTGCCCTCCTCACCCTCCCCATCAGCAGCTCCTACCTCGACCCCCATCCTACATTCCTTCCTCCCCATCTCTCCCTCCTCCCTCTCACCTACCATCACCTCCATGAAACCACCACCTGCTGCCTCGATCCCCTCCCCACCAACTTGCTGGTCACACAGCTCCCCTTCCTCTGGCCACTATTGGCTGACATCATCAACCAGTCCCTCCCTACGGATCAGACCCTGCCCCCCTCAAAACTGCTGCCATCACACCCTTCCTAAAAAAAACCTTCGCAAGATCTCTCAAACCCCAGCCATTACCGCCCTATTTCTAAACTTCCCTTCCTCGCAAAAGTCATAGAGCGCATTGTTGCCAAACAACTGCGCGCACACCTTTCCTCCCACTTCCTCTACGAACACCTCCAATCCGGTTTATGCCCACAGTACAGAGACTGCACTTATGAAAGTCACAAACGACATCCTCTCTATCTGTGACCAGAGCTCCCTCTGCCTCCTTGTCGTCCTGGACCTCTCCGCTGCGTTTGACACAGTTCGATCATGCCATCGTACTCCACCGCCTTCCCTCCGTCATCCATCTCAGTGGGACCGCACTCGCCTGGTCCGAGTCCAACCTCACAAACTGCCAGCAGTACATCTGCACTAACGGCTTCTCCTCCCGCTGTCACCCGGTCACCTGCGAGTACCCCAAGGATCCATCCTTGGCCTCCTCCTCTTACTGATCTACATGCTCTCTCTTGGGGATGTCATCCGCAGATATGGGGTACATTCCCACATGTACGGGGACAACACCCAACTATTTTTCCAGCTCTCTCTTCGACCCCCAGCCCCTGATGTTCTGTCACCTGACTGTCGGATCTCAGGGGCTGGATGAGCGCGAATTTCCTTCAGCTGAAAGTTGACAAAACAGAAGCCATATTCTTTGTCTCCCGTCAACTACTGAAGTTTCACGGTTCTCACCTCCTCCACAAACCCGACCGCCCCTAAAACTTTCCGCACCCATACGTAACCAAGGCGTCAGGATCGACCCCCAAATATCCTTCCTCTCCCACATCCGGTCCCTCACCAGCACCGCTTTTTTCCACTTTCGACGCATCGCCCGTCTCCGCCAATATCTCACCACAAAAGCAGCTGAAACCCTGGTTCATGCCATTGTCACCTCTCGTCTGGGCTATTCTAACGCCCTCCTCGCCGGCCTCCGATCCATTCGTGAAATCCAGATGATTCAGAACTCTCACCGGCACCAAACTCCGCTCCCCGATCCCCCAGTCCTGGCCAGACTGCATAGCTGCCTGTCCCAGAGAGGATCGACTTGAAGATCCTCAACATGTCTTCAAATCCCCCCACTCCTCTCCAGCCCCCGACCTCTCTTACCTCCTCTCTCATCACAGCAGTGCCCGTTGCCTTCGCTCCACCGGATCTGGCGTCCTCCTTGTCCCCCGAATCATCTGCCACCAGCCACTACTCCCCGAGGAGCTCTGGAACTCCCCTCCTCACTCCATTAGGCTCGACCCCGCTCTTCCTATTTTCAGGTCTCTGCTGAAAACCTTTCTTTTCGATCGCGCCTTTGGTCACCTTGGACTCCCACCCCCACCTCCCACATACACCACGGCTAGGTCCCAAGATCCATTACTGTGAAGCTCTGAGACGCTCTGGAGAGCACTGTATAAATCCAAGTTGTTGTTGTAGACATAGTAGTTGGCAATCTGCAAGCCATAACACTGAACGTTACTCTATTCCAGACAAAGGGAATGTTCAGTGTGGCATTCGTATAAACATAATATGCACAATAAAAAAAATACTAGTAGTCTTTGGTTTGATTTAGCTGCAAATCATGTAATAAAGGTCATTCCATATCAGGAAGACAACCCAAAGCGAATGTGACTGTGAGTCTCGTGGGAAAATGTGACAATATGCAAACAACAATGTTCCTCAAATAGCCAAGGTGTGAGAGACCAATTTTGTTTGGTGTTTATTTATCCAGGATAGCGGGAGCAACTCCCTTGTTTTAACCAACGCAGAGCAACAACAAATGGGACGTTGGTTTAGTACCCAGTCTGAAGTTGGCAGCTCAGCAGTGCAGGATACCCCAGCAGTGACCTGCTTTGCAGTGAGAAGATATGAGTTCCATTTCCCGCCGTGTGGCTTCAACCCTCAAAACGCTCTGATAGGTTTATCTTAATAGATTTAATACACGTGTTCAAAAATTATGAGGGATTTTGAGAGTAGAGCGGCTATAACTGTTTCTCTTGAGGGTCCGTGAATGAGGGACACAGACTTAAGATAATAGGCAAAAGAACCAGAACAAAACAACCTTCTCAGGAACGGGAATGATACCAACTGAGCCAGGCTGGCAGCTCTCTGATGTTAGCTACCAAATGGTATTTTAGGCCAATGGATGATGGTTTATTCTGATTTTTTGCAAGAATAAATGTAATATTTCCTGAAATATATTTTTAGAGAATACAAGTAAAATCATATCTGACTAACTTTTTTATGGGTTACTAACAGGCACAAGCACCTTATTCACCGAGACCCTGGCCCTGTACAACGGGTACCAGCTGTACAGACTGACAAAGTTCTATCGGGACAGATTGGAACAGGCCATTGAGGAAGGTGTGGAGGACATCAGCTCAAGGCTGACAGAGAAGGAATGTTTCAGCCCCCAGGAACACAAAGTAGGTTTGAGTCAGAGGTTTCCATTTCATTTGTTAAAAGCTCAGAAAATCTGTGCCTGTCTGCACGGCTCATGTGCTGCTGTTATCAGGAAATCAGAAGAATGGCAATAAAGACTTCACCAGCCAGTTATGTTATAACGCAGGCCATGTACTCTATGTTTGTAGTGGAGCAGTACTGCACAGTGTAATAGGAGTCTGTTTATATAGCATTTGAATAGCACCGTTCACTTGGCGAGGCAGTCTCAAGGCACTGACAGTTGAAAGTTAGAGCCCGATCTGGATTTCGGAAGGGAAGGGGAGGGAAAATGATCAAAGGCATAATCACAGAGGAAAGCAGTTTGTGGAGGGAAGAGATAGCAAATCGAGCCACGCCATCAATTGTTCTGGGTATTGCTGATCACTGTCACTGTTTATGTTTCACTCCATCTTCAATACATTAATGCTCACTCTCTGCAGAAACTCACAGAGCTCACACATAGGGGGCAGAAGGCACAAAGTTCGAAATTTCTTCTGGATCTGGTGATGGGGAACGGTTCCCAAGCCAGGATAGTGATGTGGGAATCCTTTGTGGAAATGAAGTCCACTTTGCCCAAACTGAACAAAATCATGACTGAAATACAGGAACAAGGTAATTTTATACATATTACCATGGGCCAAATGGCCTCCTTCTGTGCTGTAACATTCTATGAATGTGTGATGGTACGCAGTGTCTCCATTCTGTGGCGAGTTACAGATTTTACTCAAAGAGTATTGAGACAAAGTTCATTCAAGCTAGTAATATTAATTCTATTCAAACAGGTGCCAGTCTAGTGAATGAGGTGTCCATCGACGGAAGTGTACCAGACGTCTCCATTGGTATGATAGGTATGAGACAGTGACAAGATTCAAGCCAGTCAATCACTTCTGAAATACACAGTTTAACACTTTTCCATTTACTTGATGATTTCCAGAAAAATTCAAATGAGGATGAGAGAGTGTAGGAGGCAGATAAATAGGGAGAGTAGCGGAAAAGGGAGGATTGAAAATGAGGAGGGAGGTGAATGATCCTTATTCGATTCTTACATATTTCAGCAAATATTGCTTTGCAATGATTTTTCTCAAAATAAATTAGAGATAACGTCTCACAAGTCGTCATATAATGGCCTGAAAATCTCCCATGGTGTGCATGTAATTCAGATTGTTTAACCCTTGTTTGCCAGGCTCAATTGGTGTTCCTTTTGTCTCGGAGTCAGACGCTGTGGGTTCAAGTTCATATCAACCGGATGAGTTGACACTCCAGTGCAGTTCTGGGATATGTGCATTGTTGGAGATGCCGCTATTGGGATATAAAACCGAGGTCCTGTCTCCCTTTTCAGGTGGACATCAAAAACCTCACAATACTATTTGAAAAGAGTGGGAGTTTCTCTCTCCGGTTTCCTGGCCAAATCTCTCAAATAAATGTGATCAATCACTTCACGGCTGCGTGTGGCACATCGCTGTGCACAAATTAGCTGCTGTGTTTGCCAACAAAACAAAGCCACTACACCTAACAGTAAATCTAGCAGCGCTTTGGGTAGTCCTTCTGCCTTGAAAGGCCATGAATGATTCTAAGTATTATTATTCAATAAAGCTCAATAATTCTTCTATTTACTTTATGATTTTGTAATGTTGGACATGAAGCTATTCAGCGATTACACAAGGAGACGTTACAGAAACAATGTGAGAAACTGGAGTTGAAGACCATCCTGATAAAGGAGAAGGTGCAGAAATTTCAGCTGGTAGATCGCTACACGGAGTTAACAATTATTTCTGATGTACGTGACCGGGAACTGGTAGAACATGAGCTGCTGGCGAGAGGCAGAGAACACGAGGAGTGGAGACAGAAGCAACTCCGGGGAGAGCTGGAAAAAATCCGAACTGATAAACTGTTCCACAGCAGCTTCTCAAAAGGAAGTCATTTACACTCCTCTCAGGGAAGCGGTTCTGACTCTCCCACTGGGACTTCCGCAGTAGTGAGTGGAGTGGCTGGGATTGGAAAAACAACCATGGTGCAAAAGATTGTCCATGACTGGGCCACAGGCAAAATCTATCCACGCTTCCACTTTGTATTTGTTTTTAAGTTCAGAGACCTAAACAGACTTTATGACAGAGCAACACTGAGCCGTCTGATCGGGGAGCAGTATCCTTACCTCAGGGGTGTTTTGGATGAGCTGTGGAAACACCCAGAGACATTGCTCTTTATATTTGATGGTTTGGATGAATTCAGGACAAGGATTGATTTCGCTGACAGTCGGAGAGAAACAGAGCCTCAGCGCAGGTGCACAGACCCTGAATTCCTCTGTGATGTTCTGACATTGTGTACAGTTTAATACAGAAAAAGCTGCTGCCAGGCTGCTCAGTGCTGGTGACCAGCCGCCCCACTGCATTACATTTACTGGCAAAGGCTCAGGTCAGTGTCTGGGCTGAAATCCTGGGATTTGTGGGTGAAGAGAGAAGGGAATATTTTCACAAGTTTTTTGAAGATCAGGAGGTGGCGGCTGCTGTTTACAGCCACGTGGAGGAGAACGAGCTCCTGCTCACCATGTGCTACAACCCGTCCTACTGCTGGATCCTCGCTCTGTCTCTGGGTCCCTTCTTTACACGGAAACACAGCAACAAACAGCGAGTTCCCAAGACAGTCACACAACTCTTCTCCTATTATATTTATAACATCTTGTCATATCACAGTGTCAGGATGGATAGCCCCCGTGATGTGATGCTGAAGATCGGTGACATGGCCTTCACTGGAGTCTCCCATAGAAACATTGTCTTTTATTCTGAAGATCTGGTGAAATCTAACCTCCAACCTTCCCAGTTCCTCTCTGGCTTTCTCATGGAACTTGTGGAGAGAGAGTCTTCAGAGCACAGCGTGGTCTACACATTCCCGCACCTCACCATCCAGGAGTTTGTAGCCGCACTCGCTCAGTTCCTCTCTCCTGATTCCAAACGCACCATGCGGTGTTTGATCCGCAGTGACATGGAGGAGGACGGCCGGTTTGAGATATTCCTGCGCTTTGTTGCTGGTCTCTCCTCCCCACGGGCAGCTCAGCCACTGGAGGATTTTCTGGGGCCATTTGTTCATCAGACAACCTGTGCGGTGATCGATTGGCTGGGGGAGAAGTTTGAAGCTCAGATTAAAGACACAGACACCATCACTGGGAAAGGGAAGCTGCTGAAGACGCTCCACTACCTGTTTGAGTCTCAGAATCAAGCCCTGGCACAGCAAACACTGGGCTCTGTACACACACTGACATTTGGTGATGACTCTCCGCGGAAAGCATTGACACTGACACCGATAGACTGTGTTGTGCTGTCTCAGGCTATTGGACTTTGTGACACAATAAAACAACTGAATCTGAGGAACTGCTACATTCGGTATGAGGGTCTCCAGCGTCTGGTTCCTGCTCTGCACAAGTGTCAGGAGTTGCAGTAAGTTTACTCTGTTCGTAAACCTTATTCTTGTTATTCTTATTTTTCTTATTTCAAAGCCATTCTCCAGGATGTTACAGACATTAAACACCAGCTGCTCAATGGGAGAATGGTATCGCACAGCTGGAGGTAACAGTGATGGCCGTCACTCACCGCAATCCTGAACTGTGTGATTGGGAGGTGAATGGCTGACATTCCACACACCTGGCGCTCAACACCCTGAGCCCTTTGGTGACATTCCCAGATTGCTGGTGTTATTGGGATTGGTTCCTCACTCCGACTTTACTGACTATATTGTAACGTGAAACGAGGTCAGACAGAAAGGAAATTGTACAAAGAGACGTAGTTCAGTGGTTCCAGTTCATTCCTACAGGACGTGTTTCTCCCGAAACTAGAGTCTCTGAAAAGCGGAATGGCCCCTGATCTCTAACCCTCTGAGCTTTCCCCCAGCTCAGGCCACAGGACTCACACCCGTGAACCATTTCCTTATGCCGGAGGCTTCCTTCCGAAGGCAGCCAACCCCACACCACCATTGCTGCATTCCAGGGCTAAGAGACCTCCCGAGGGCTTGGCCATCCCACTTATCCAGCCACACCTTCTCAACTACAAGATTTCATTTATAGTGCGCCTTTCACGTCGGGAGTATGTCGCAAGGCGCTGGACAGTTGGGTCGGGACCCAAGCAAGGGGGAAATGATCAGGGTGAGGAGAAGGAAGGGAGGGAGCGAGGAGCGCGTAGGGAGTCGAGAGGGGAGCTGAAGGCACGGTCAAAGACAAGGGTCTTGAGACGGGCCTTGAAGAAGGAAGCGGCGAACGCACTGGTGGATGGATTTCCAGAGCCTCGGGGTTGAGAGGCTGAAGGCCCGGCCACCGATGTTAGGGCGGTTGGGGCGGAGGATGTGGAGCAGACCGGAGCCAAAGGGACGGAGGGTACGGGCAGGTAAGTAGGGGGTTAGTAGGTCGGAGAGGTAGGAGGGAGCGAGGCCGTGAATGGCCTTGTAGGTGAGGATTAAAATCTTGAATTCGATCCTCTGGGGTATGGGGAGCCAGTGGAGGCGAGCGAGGGTGGGAGTGATGTGGTCGCCTTCTCCAGTACATTGCTTGTTACTCTATTACAACATGTTTCACCCCTAACACTTCTCCCTCAACCTGAGTTCAGTCTGACAGGTGTGGGTTCCCCTGGCCCTGGTTAAGAGTCACCATTTTCAGCTCCTGAGAGCTCCCGGCCACAGAAATTCTCTTTCCCAGTTCTAGAGCTCACAGTATTTGTAGGATGAGAGAATAGAGACACATCCACTGCCCTGCTCCTGGAGATTACAGGCCAGGCTGCAGAAGCCACGACATTAGCCTGACTCACACCCGTACACTGAGGGATTACACTGCTGCTGGAATAGACCGAGCGTAAACTGTTCCTGCCTTTGCCAGGCATTGGGGGAGATCCCCACTACTTGTACATCCAGCAGCACAGCATGTTAAGATACATTGCCAAGATGAGGGCTGTGAGAAATGCAGTTCTTATGATTATTACTATTATCATCATCAGATTCTATCATTCATATCGGCTCCACTTTGTCTTGAAAAAAGGCTTCTCCCCCAGCCACCTCACCTCCTCGTGTGTTGTCACTCAGGGTTCTGCCCTCAGTCCTCTCCTCATCAACATGTATATGTTCCCACTTGGTGACATCATCGGCAGACATGGGGTCAACTTCCACATGTATGCGGATGACACCCAAATCTACTTCTTTGTCTCCACCCTTGAACCCCACGAACGTTCCTGTCCTGACACAATGTCTGTCAGGTATCATGTTCTGTATCAGCTTTCTACAGTTGAGCGTCAGCAAGACCGAGGCTCTCCTGATTGACTCGCACCAGCACGTCCCAACTCAGACACTGGCAGCATCAACATCCACGGATGCCCAATCCACCTCACTAAGCCAGTCAGGAATCTGGGAGTCTTATCGACCGTCAACTGTCCTTTCTCCCCCATATCTGTGCCATGATCAACTGTGCCTTCCCCAACCGCTGCTTCATTGCCTAACTCCACCACTGCCTCACCCCTCAGGCCGCCAAATCCCTGATACACGCCTCCATTACGCCCTGGCTCAAATATACCAATTCCCTGCTTGTCAGCTTTCCCAACTCTTCCCTCCACAAGCTGCAGGTCATCCAGTACTCTGCAGCTCTGTCCTCTCCTGCACCAGACTCCATGACCATTTCCCCCACCATCGCCCGGCTCCACTGACTCCCCAATCCTTAGTGGATAGAATTCAAAATACGCCTCTTCACTTTCCAGGCCCTCCACGGACCTGCTCCCTCCTACCTCTCTGACCTGCTGACCGCCTATCAACCTGTCCACTCCCTTCCTTCAGTTGGCTGAAGCCTCCACCATGTCTCCTGCCGAACCCGCTCTGCCATCGGCGACCGAATTTTCTGACTCTGCCCCCGCACTCTGCAACTCCATCCCACAAACTCTTTACTTCGCTCCCTCCCTTGATGTGTTGCAGCTTCTACAGCACTGCCCTGTCCTCACACTCAGGTCACTAACACTATTATAATGGGCTCTGGGTACCGGCTGTGGGGAAGCGGGTAAACTGGGCCCTGGACTGTAAAGGCTGAGGACTTGCAGTGCAGAGGCAGCTATGGGGAGGATTGTCCTTTGGGGGAGAGGCAGTCATACCTTTATTGTATCACATTCTCCCTCTCAGTCTCTCTCTCCGTCTCTCGCTTTGCCTTTCTCTCACTCAGTCTCTCTGTCAGTCACTTTCAAACAGTCTCTCTCTCTCTCTCTCCTCTCTCTCAGTCTCTCACTCTCTCTCTCATTCTCTCTTCCTGTCCTCTCTGTCAGTCTTTCTTTCTCAGACTCAGGGTCTCCCGTAAAACACAGTCACTAACGCTTTATAACATCTTCTCTCGCACAATCTCCCTCTCTCTCCATCTCTATCTCTGTCTCTTATTCTCTCTCTCTCTCAGTTTCTGTCTGTCTCTCTTGCATTCTCTCTCTCTCTTGCTCTGTCTTCCAGTATCTCCCTCTCTCTTTCTCAATCTCTTTGTCTCATCCTCTCTCTCTCTATCCCACATCAAGCCGTCACTGCATATTATCTCTCAGTCTTGCTCTATCTCTGAGTCTCTTTATCTCTATCGCTCGAAGTCACTGTCTCTCAGTATCGCGATCTCAGTCTCAATCTCTTCCTCACTCTCCCTCTCTCTCTAACTCTCTCTCTCTCACTATTAGTCTCCCTTTCTGTCTCACCTACAAAATACAGAGTTAATACACTACATAATATATTCTCTCTCACGGTTTCCCTCTCTCATTCTCTCTGTCTATCAGCCTTTCTCTCAGGCTCTCTCTCTATGTCACTCAGTGTCTCTCTCTGTCTCAGTCTCTCTCTCTCTCTCTTTGCGTCTCCCGAAAAAACACGGTCACTACACGTTTACTATATATTTTCTATCATTGTTTTGTCTCAGTCTTGCTCTTTGTACATCTCTCTATCTCGTTCTCTCTCTCTCAGTCTCTTTTTCTGCCTCTCTTTCACTCTCTGTCTCTCTTTCTGCCTCTCTTTCTCTCCCTCTCTCTCGAAGTCACTCTCTCGCCTAGTCTCACTCTCCCATGCTCTCGGTCAGTCTCTCACCATCTTTCTCTGTATCTTCCACAAAACTGTCACTACATCTTATAAGATATTTTCTCTCACCGGCTCTCTCAGTCTCTCTCTTTCTCTGTCTCTCTCACGCACTCCTGTCTCTCTCTCTCTCTCTGCCTCTCTACCTCTCCCAAAAAACACGTCACTACACTTCATAATATATTTTCTCTCAGTCTCTCTCTCCCTCTGTCTCTTTGTCTCTTCCACGAAACACAGTCACTACACTTTACAATATGTTCTCTCTCTCACTCTCTCGCTCAGTCTCTCTTTCACTAAATTTATCTTAACATCAGTCTATCTCTTTCTCTGTTTCTCTCTCAGTCTCTATCTCTCAGTCTCTCTGAGTCTCTCTCTCTCACTCACTCTCTTGGTCTCCCACTCTCTCAGACTGTTTCTCTAACTGTCTTATAGTTTCTATCTCTTTTTCTCTGTCTTTCGCTCTGTCCCACAAACCAAACATTACAATATATTTTCTCTCAGTCTCTCTCGGTGTATCTCTCTGTCTCACTCAGTCGCTCTATCTGTCACTCTCTCCGTCTCTTTCTCTCTATCGCAGTAACTGTCTCTCTCCGAGTCTCTCACTCTTTCTCTCATTCTTCTCCTATTCTTGCTTTATCTCTCCCCCAAAACACACATTTGTAGTAATTATTTTTATTACTCTGTATTACTTTGTAATACATTTTCTCTCACATTCTCTCTCAGCCTCTCTCTCTCTGTTTCTTTCAGTCTCTTTTTCTTTCACTATGTCAATCTCTCTTTCTCGGTCTCTCTCTGTCTCTTTCTCTCTGTCACTCTCTCTCTATCAGTCTCCCTCTGTCTCTTCCACAAAATACTGTCACTACACGTTATGGATTTGTTATCAGTCTCTCTCTCAGTCTCTTTCTCACTTGTAGTCATTCTTTCGTAGTCTCTCTCGGTGTCTTTCTCAGTCTCTCTCTCTCTCCCTATAAATCTATGTCTCTCAGTCTCTCTCACAAAAAACACTGTCTGTCTCTCTTCATGCCTCTTACTTTCTCGCTGTCACTCTTTCTCCCATCTCTCCCCCATTCTCTCTTTCTCTCTCTCTCTGTCTCTTGCTTTCATTCCCAGACTCTCTCTCAGACTCAGTATTTCTCCGTCTCTTTCTTTCATTCTCTCGATCTCTCGCTCTTTCTAACCCACAAAACACAATCATTATCCTCCAGAGACTGTGTGTCTGAGAGAGAGAGTCTGTGAATGACAATATATTATAAAGTCTAGTGAATATTTTTTTGGTTGAGACAGAGAGAGAATGAGGGAGCGTGAAACTGAGAGAGTGACTGCAAGAGAGAGACAGAACCTGAGAGAGAGAAATAGAGATTGAGAGAGACTGAGACAGAGAGAGAGAACCAGAAACAGAGACTGAGAGGGAAACAGAGAAGTATTCATTGAGAGAGATGAGAGACAAGGCGGCAGAGTGCAGTGTTTTGGATGATCTGCTGCTTGTGAAGGGAAGATTTAGGAAGGCCGATGAGGAGGCAGTTTCCATAATGTGTAGTGACTGTGTGTTCTGTGGGAGAGACTGAGAGAGAAAGAGAGTGACAGGGAGGGATTCAGAGAGAAAGAGACTGAGAGAGATTGAGAGAAAGTGAAAGAAAGAAATATTTATAACATTTAGTGATTGCGTTTTCTGAGCGAGACAATTCCAGAGTCTGTGAGAGAGACTCAGATATAGAGAGTAACTGAGAAAAATACAAACTGGCAGAGAGGGACTGAGTGAGAGAAAGACAGAGTGAGAGAAAGAGCGAATGAGAGCGAGAGACTGAGAGAGATAGAGAGACTGAGAGGGAGAGACTGAGAGAGAAAGACTGAGAGAGGGACAAAGAGAGAAAGAGAGAGACTGAGAGATAGAGACTGAGAGAGAAAGACTGAGAGAGGGACTGAGAGAAAGTGACACAGAGAGAAGCTGTGTGAGAGAGGGAGAGAGAGAGAGCGCCTCGAGGAAATGAAATATATTGTGTGGTATTTTGTGGGAGAGACTGAGAGGTAGACAGAGAGATTGAGAGAGAAAATAATAGGGAGACTGAGAGAAGGAAATGTATTATACTGTGAAGTGACTGTGTTTTGTGGAAGAGATAGAGCAAAAGACTCTGAGCGAGACAGAGAGAGACTCAGAGAGAGATATTAAGAGAAAGAGGGAGCAAGTGAGAGCTTAGGGGAGATGCAATATATCCATGTGGTAGTGGGAGAGACTAAGAGTGAGTGAGAGAGAAAAAGCGAGACAGAGAGAGAGAGACAGAAAGAGAGAATGATAGAGACAAAGCAAGAGACTGAGAAAGTGACTGAGATAAAGAGACTGAGAGAGAGACTGAGTTGGAGAATGTCAGAGCGAGAGCCAAAGAGAGAGACTGAGAAAGAAAGAGACTGAGGGAGTGTGACTGTGAGAGGGAAAGACACAGACAGAGAGAGACTGACAAAGAATAGAATGTAGGCAGTGAGAGAGAGAAAGACAGACAGAGAGCGAGAGAGAGACTGAGAGAAAGAGACAGAAGAGAGAAAAAGACGGAGAGAGTGAGAGAGATATAGAGACAGACTGTGCTGTGTGTGCACATGTGTGTGTGACCCTGGTCCCAGCGCCTTGGGACTTGCTCCCCATGTGAAAGGCTCCTGTATATACATGTCAATGTGTTTAGTGTTGTTACACTATATTCCCTGTGTTTGTGTCCCTGTGTCCAGGTTGGGGGGCAATAATCTGGGAGATTGTGGAGTGAAGCGACTGTGTGAGGCTCTGAGGAACCCGGAGTGTAAAATACAGAGTCTGTGGTAAGTAACACTGTGTCTCCAGAGTCTGAATGACTCCAATATCTCAATGTGTTTATTGTGACTGTCTAATCAGTGCGGCTGAATATTGTGACAGGAATCGGTGTGAAAGTGCGAGGTCACAAGTCATCGTTTACATCAAACTCTCAACATGTGTTAGTGTGTATGTGTGTGTGTCTGTTTGTGTGTCTGTGTTTGCATGTGTTTGTGATTCTGTGTGTGTGCTTGTGTGCGTTCGTGACTGTTTTTTGTGAGTGTCTGTGCGTGCTTACGTGTGTATTTGTGAGTATCTCTGTTTGTTTCTGTGTTTGTTTGTATGTTTGGGTGTGTTTGTGTGTGTGTTGTTTGTGCATTGGTGAATGTTGTGTGAATGTTTGTGCGCGAGATTGTGTGTTTGTATGTGTATATCTATTTGTGTTTGTTTGGTTGTGTGGATGTGTATTTATATGTATGTTTGTTTGTGTTATTTTGTGTATGTGTGTTTGGTGTGCTTGTGTAAGTGTTTACGTTTGTGTGTTTGCATGAATGTATGATTGTGTGCGTATGTTATTGTGTAAGTTTGTGTGTGTGCGTGTGCACATGTGAGTTTCTTTGTGAGTTTGTTTGTGTTTCTGTGTGTGTATATGAGTTGGTGTGTATTCTTGCGTATGTGATTGTCTGTTTGTGAGTGTTTGTTTGTGTTCACATGTGTTTCGGTGTATGTTTCTGTGTATGTATTTGTTTGTTGTGCCCGTGTGTGTTTATTGTGCTTGTTTGAGCATTTCTTTGTGTGTTTGGTTATGCGTGAGCGTGTGCGTATTTATGTGTGTCCGTGATTTTGTTTGTTTGTGTTTATGTGCGTCTATGTTTTTGGGGTTGGGTGCGTGAATGTGTGTTTGTGTTTTCTGTTTGTTTGTGCATGTGTCCCTGTGTATTTCCGTTTGTGTTTCTTGTGTGCTTCTGTGTGTGTGTATTTCTGTGTGTGTTAGTATGTTTTTATCCGTGTGTTTGTGTGATTTTGTGTTTGTTTGTGTGTGGGCTTGTGTGCGCGTGTTTGTGTGTCAGTTTGTGTGTTTGTTTTGTGTTTCTAGTTGTGTGTGTTTCTTTTGTGTGTACGATTGTGTATTTGTATATGTGTGTGCTCGTGTGTGTTTGCATATGTATGTGTTTGTGCGCATATTGCTGTGCGCATGTGAATTTGTTTGTGTGTGTATGTGTATACGTGTATGTTTTTCTGTACGTGTGTTTTTTGCGCCTTTATTGACAATCTGTGCTTGTGTATGTTTGTCTGTTTATTTGTGTGCCCTTGTGCGTGTGGGTTTGATTGTGTGCGTTTGCTTGTGTTTGTATGTGTACATTTCTGTGTGTTTGTGTGGGTATTTTTGTGCGCACGTATTTGCGTGTAAACTTGTTTGTTCATGTATCTGTGTTCATGTATGTTTGTGTTTTTGTGTGTCTTTGGTTTTTTGTGTGTGTACTTGTGTGTTTTGTTGTGTGTGTATCTTTGTGATTTTTTTGTGTGCGTTTGCTTGCCTGTGTGTCTTTCTGTGTGTGTTTGTGTATGTGTGTCCGTGCGTGTGTATTTCTGCGTGTGTCATGCGTTTGCTTGTGTGTAAGTGTGTTTCATGTCTGTTTGTTTCTGTATGTGCCTGTGAGCGTGTGCAATACTGTCTGTTCCTGTCTATGTGTTTCTGTATCTGTATTTGTGCTCGTGATTGTATATGTGTGTATTTATGTTCTTGTATTTGTGTATTTCTGTATTTGTGCACGTGTGCATGTGTTTGTGTGTGGGTGCTTGTTTGGTTGTGTGTGTGCATTTATGTGTTTTTGTGTGTATGTGTGTGTTAAGTTCTTTTTGGTATGTATGTGTATGCGTGTGTTTGTTTGTGTCATCGATTTGTATGTTTGAGTGTGTATTTGTGCGTGTTTGTATGGTTGTGACTATGCGTGTGTGTTTTTGTGTCTGTGTGTAGGCGTGTCTGTGTATGCTGGTGTGCGTGTGTGTGTATGCGTGTGCACTGCTGCCACCTGTCCGGCATCAGACAAACTGTGAGTGACAGTGGGTTACACACACTGTGTTTACTCTGATCCCTGTTATGTCTCTGTGTCTCTGATCTGCAGGTTGGACAGTAACAATCTGACAACGGATTGTACCGAGGATCTGACCTCCGCTCTCAGCACAAACCACTCACTGACGGAGCTGTACCTCAATATTAATAAACTGGGAAATTGTGGAGTGAAGCCACTGTGTGAGGCTCTGAGGAACCCGGTGTTTAAAATACAGAACTGGAGTAAGTAACACACTGTATTTCCAGAGTCTGAATGATCAATATCTCAATGTGTTTATTGTGACTGTCTGATCAGTGCGGCTGAATATTGTGACAGGAATCGGTGTGATAGTGTGAGGCCACAAGCCATCGTTTACATCAAACTCTCAACATGTGTTAAAATGAAACCATGTGCTGGAAACCCCATCTCTCGTGACATGCGGATCCTCACAGCTCCGACGCCTCCCCTAGGTTTGAGGTTTTTTTTGTCAGAATCTTTCCAGTCAAAACGTCTGTGCAAAACCCTCACCCAGAATGAAATCGACACAGCTTCAGCCCTGAGTTAGCCTGTGTCTGCTCACACACTGCAGTCTGAGCCCTGTAGCTCAGTGGTTAAAGCCCTCGCCTCGCTAGCGGGAGGGCCTGGGGGTGATTCCTGACAGGGCAAAACCTTACGGATGTTTCCTTACTCCACTCGTGTCTGATTGCCACACAGTCAGTCACAATCCGGTTGTTATACGACTTGCAGATCACTTTTCCAGGGTTATTAATCCCTTGAAAACAATATTTCATGAGAGAATGAGAGATAGATGGGAATTGGGAGAGAGACAGACAGAGAGATGCAGAGACAGAAAGAGATACTGAGAGAGAAGAGAGACTGAGTGAGAGAAAGACAGAGTGATAGTCTGTGAAATAGATTGAGAGAAAGAGAGAGATACTGATAGAGCGAGAGAGACTAGGGGAGAAGAAATTTAACATGCAGTCTTTTTTTGTGAGAGGGACTAGGAGAAAGTGACAGAAAGAGAGAAGTAAGATAGTGAAGAGAGACTGAGGGAACGAAAGATAGAGCGAGAGGCGAATACAGAGACTGACAGGTAATGAAACAGAGAGAGCGACAAAGAGAGAGAGACTGATTTAGAAAGAGAAAAAGGGAGAGACAGAGAATCAGAGAGAGATTGAGAGAAAGAAACTGAGCAGGAGAGAGTAAGAGAGACAAACTGAGAGAAAGACAGGCACAGTGAGAGAGAATAGGGTACATGACATACAACATGTAGTGACTGTGCATTTTATCGGAGAAACTAAGAGACAGAGACCGAGAAGAAAGTGAGACAGGTAGAGACACAAAGAGAGACTGATACAAAAATATATAATATCGAATAGTGACTATGCCTTGTGGAAGAGCCAAAGTGAGAGAATGTTAGACAGACTGTGAGAGAGAGAGCGAGAGAGAGAGAGAGACTGATAGAGAAACATACAGAGAGAGAGAGAGAGAGACAGTAACAGTCAGAGATAAAGACAGAGACAGGGCGAGAGATTCAATGAGGGAAAGAAGAGTAAGAGATACAGAGAGAGAATGAGAGAGGGAAAAACGCAGGGAGAGAGTTGTGAGAGAGATATTTTAAAGTTTAGTGACACTGTGTTTTGTGTGACAGACAGTGTTACTGCGAGAGAGAAAGAGACAGTCAGAGAGAGAAATACAGAGAGAGAGTCAGTGAGAGAGACTGACAAAGAAAGAGGAAGAGAGAGAGGAGAAAGAGAGGCAGAACGAAAGGAGGAGAGAGTCAGAAAGGCACTGATAGAGACTGGGAGAGCGTCAGAGAGACTACACGACAGAGAGAGAGGACTGAGAGATCGAGTGATGAGACAGATATTGAGAGAGTGAGAGAGAGAGAGAGAGAGAGAGAGAGAGAGAGAGAGAGAGAGAGAGAGAGAGGAGAGAGAGAGAGAGAGAGAGATACTGGGAGAGTGAGAGACTGGGAAAGGGAGACTGAGTGAGACAAACTAAGTGAGAAAATGAGAGAGAGAGAGAGAGAGAATACGAGAGAGGAGAGAAACAGAGAGGGAGGCTGAGAGAGAAAGTGACTCAGAGACACAGAGTGAGAGAGAATGTGAGAGAGCGACAGAAAGAGATACTGAGAGACACTAATAGAGAAAGATAGTCTGAGAGACTTAGAGGATGAGAAACTGAGACACGTAGATGGAGGGAGAGAGATTCTGGGAGACACAGAGAGAGAGAGAGACTGAGAAAGAGATTGAGAGGCTGAGAGAGAGAGAGAGAGAGAGAGAGAGAGAGAGAGAGAGAGACTTAAGTGCGTGAATAAGGGAGAGAAAGAGACTTCGAGAGAGAGCGACTGAGAGAGATATGAGGAAGAGAAAGTGTCTGAAAGACTGAGTGAGACAGAAATGGAGAGAGAATATATTATAATGTGTAGTGACTGTATGTTTTGTTGACGAGACAGTGAGACTCAAAGAGATTGACTGACTGAGACAGAGAGAGGTTGAGAGAGAGAGACAGAAAGAGATATTGATTGACGCAGATAGAGAGACGCAGAGACTGAGAAAATGATTGTGAGAGAGAAAGAGAGAGCGAGAGAGAGAGATTGAGCGACAGAGACCGATATAGAGACAGAGATGGAGACTCAGGAAGATTGAGAGAGTGAGAGAGATAGTGAGAGAGAATATATAGTGAAGTGTTTTGTGGGGAAAATAGATAGAGATTGACTGAGAGAGAGAGAGAGAGAGAGAGAGTGAGATTGGGATAAACTGCCGGAGAGATAATACTACTTCTAATACTACAACTAATAATAATCCTTGCGTTTGACATAGTGCTTTTCACGCCTTCTAGACGGCTCAAAGCGTTTCACAGAATCGACTGTAAAGTGAATTGACTGTATATATTGTGAGCGATAGAGAAAGTTACCGAGAGAGGGAGAGAGAGAAAGTGCCTGAGAAACACAAAGTGAGAGAGAGAGACTGAGAGAAAGAGAGAGAAAGTGACTCAGAGATACAGAGTGAGAAAGAGACTGAGAGACAGCCTCAGAGAGCCAGAGAGATAGAGACTGAGACAGTGAGAGAGAGAGAGAGAGAGAGAGAGAGAGAGAGAGAGAGACTGAGCGAAAGAAGAATGATTGTGAGAGAGAGCGAGTAAGAGACTGAGAGAAAGAGAGAGACGATGAGGGAGAATATGTTATCACGCGTAGGGACTGTGTTTTGTGGAGAGGCAGAGAAAGAAAATTAGCAGAGAGAGACATAGAAGGAGACTGAGAGACTGAGAGAGTGAGAAAGTGAAAGACATAGAAGGAGACTGAGAGAGAGAGAGAGACGGTGAAAGAGAATATATTATTAAACGTAGTGACTGTTTTGTGGGAGAGACATGGAGAGAATCAGAGATAGAGAGAGAGAGAGAGAGAGAGAGACTGTGATGTGTGTGTGGCACATGTTCGGGTGTGTGTGACACTGGTCCAGCGCCTTGGGACTTGCTCCCATGTGAAACGCTCCTGTATATACATGTCAATGTGTATTGTGTTGTTACACTATATTCCCTGTGTTTGTGTCTCTGTGTCCAGGTTGGGGAGCAATAACCTGGGAGATTGTGGAGTGAAGCGACTGTGTGAGGCTCTGAGGAACTCGGAGTGTAAAATACAGAGTCTGCAGTAAGTAACGCACTGTGTCTCCAGAGTCTGAATGACTCCAATATCTCAATGTATTTATTGTGACTGTCTGCTCAGTGCGGCTGAATTGTGACAGGAATCGGTGTGACAATGTGAGGCCACAAGCCATCGTTTACGTCAAACTCTCAAATGTATTAATGTGTGTCTGTGCGGGTGTTGTGTGTCTTTCTGTGTTTGTTTGCATGTGCTGTGTGTGTGTCTTTGTGTGTGTGTGTGACTGTTAGAAACATTTGCAACTCTCTCCAAAATTTTAAAATGATCCTATTCCAGTTTACCTATTGGTTGAGTTCAGTCACTATATTCAGTCAAAATAGTAGGTAATGCACAAGTAAATGAAACAATAAAATAATACACAAGACACAAAACGGCTACCGAACGGATTCTGTCACAGCACTGGTCGTGTCTCGCACTGCTCCGCTACCGTTCCGAGAGATATCTGACACACCTTTGTTTAAAGACAACTGAATAACTCCAGACAAAGCTGTCTTTTTTAAGAAAAACAACTCCTTATGTTTATATCCATAATATGTTTCAATTTCAATTCTCCCTTTAACCACAAGGACTTTTTGTGTCCCTGTAGTCCTGACCTTATATTGCCATTGTTTTGGGTTCTGCCTTCAGTTACTGAGCTTTGCCGCCTTTGCACTTCTATTTTTAGATTCTTGAACCACGCTTTAACATTAACCCAAGAAAACACTGTGTGTGTGGTATTTCTGTGTGTGTGTCAGTGCATGTGTATGTGTTGTGTTTGTGTATGTATGTTGTTAGAAAATAAAATTCAGCCAAATCTGTAAGGAAATAACGCTGATTCCTCTAACCAGATATCAGACTGTTTTATTATAATTCGTTCGTTATTCCCCAATATCCCGATGGGTCAGACCAAAGGCCGGTACAATCAACAGATCTTATAAAAGAAAACACCACTATAGATATCTCGAGTTCAACACTGTGTCTTTACAGCACACAAGCTTGATTCTTTCGTGCTTTCGGTCTTCTTGCTTACAGCTTTCAATCTTCCCTCTGATATCCTCAGTCTTAGTGTTTCTAGTTCTCAGTCTTCCATCTCCCGTACCCTTGTCTCCGCAGCCCGGGATGGCCCCATCTCCCGTACCCTTGTCTCCGCGACCCGGGACGGCCCGTACACAAAGTTATCGGAACTCTTATACCAATGTTCGTCCGATCATGGTGCGGACATTAGATCACCTGGTCGAAATCATGCTGGGTTCACGTGAACACCTCATGGGGTGTACGTGCCTCACATACACACACACACTGTCCTTGAGACAGTCCGTTATCTCGTGTATGTGCAGGGAGTTTCAGTCCCGCTGCCCACAACACACTTAACTTAAAAGTTAACCCGTTCGCAACCTCTATCATGATTCCAACATTATACAAAAAGTGTAAATTCTAACAATGTGTGTGTCAATGCATATGTGTGTGTGTTTGCCTGTGTATGTGGGTCTGTGTGCTTTTGTGAGTGCTTTCGTAAGTGTGTGTGTATCTATTGAGCGATGTTTGTGTGTGTGTTGTCTTTGTTTCTGTGTGTGTTGTTGTGTGTGTTTTGAGTATATCTATATATATATTGTGTGTCTGGATGTGTTTATATGAGTGTCTCTGTCTGTGTGTGTGTTTCTGCGGGGATTTTTGTGTCTCTGTGTGTATTTGTGTTCGACTGTGTTTGCTTGTGTGTACGTTTGTTTGTGTGTGTGTTTGTGTGTTTCTGTGTGTGTGACTTTGTGCTTGTGAGTGTGTGTGTGTGTCAGAGCCTTGGGACGTCCGACATGAAAGGCGATATACAACTGTAATCTTGTTGTTGTTGTTGTGTGCGTTTGTGTGTGTTTCCTGTGAGTGTGTGTGTTGGGTATTTTGTTGATGTTATTGTGTATTTGTGTGTGTGTGTTTTGGTGTGTGTTTGTGTGTGTGTGTGGCGTGTCTGCGGGTATGTGCGTGGTTGTGTCTGTGTGCTTGCACGTTTACACAAACGTTGTGGTTGTGTGTATGTGTATTTATGTTTGTGTGTTTCTGTGTGTGCTTGTGTGTATGTTGTGTTTGCGTGTGTTTGTTTGTGTGAATCTATGTATGTGTATTTATGTCTGTGTTTGTATTTGATTTTGTGTTTCTTTGTTTGTTTGTGTGTTTTTGAGTGTGTGTCTGTTTGTCTTTATGTATGTTTTCTTGGTGTGTGTGATTGTGTTTTGTGTTTTTGTGTGTGCGTCTTGTGAGTTTGTTTTGTGTGTCTTTGTTTGTGTTTTCTGTGTGTATTTGTGCGTGTGGTTTCGCGTGTATGGTTATGTATGTTTGTATATGTCTGTTATTTGTGTGTGTACTTGTGTGCTTTTTTCTGTGTGGTGTGTTTACGTGTATGTTTGCGTGCGTTTGTGTGTGTGTCCGTTTGCTTGTTTCTGTGAGTGTGTGTGTTTGTTTCTGTGTGTTTCTCTGTGTATGCGTGTGTGTATCACTGTGTGAGTCTGTACGACATGTGTTTGTTTGTGTGTGTATGTGTGTGTGCTTGCATGAGTGTGTTTGCGTGTGTGTCTGTGTGTGTGTGTACTTGTCTGTGGGTCATGTTTGTGTGTGTGTGTATGATTTATTATGTGTTTGTGTGCCATATTGTTTATGTTTGTTTGTGTGCTTGTGTGAGTGATTGTGCTTATGTTTGCGTTTGAGTGTGTGTTGCGTATGTTTGATTTTGTGCGTGTCTGAGGTTTGAGTGCTTTTGTGAGTGTTTGTTTCTTTCTGTGTGTGCGTGTGAGTTTTGTGTGCACATGTAGTGGTGTGTTGTGTGTATCTATGTATGTCTATTTATATCTGTGTTTGTTTGTATGTGCTGTGCTTCTGTTTGTGATTGTGTGTTTTTGAGTGTGTCTTTATGTGCGTTTGTATGTTTGTGGTGTTTGTTGTGCGTGTTTGTCAGTCTGTTTTCGTGTAATTTGTTTGTGTTGCGTTTCTGTGTGTGTGTATTTGTGTGTGTTTGTGTGAATGTTTTATGGATGTTTGTGTATGCGTGTTTGTGCGTGCGTGTGTTTTTTTCTGTGGGTATGTTTTGCGCGTGTGGTTGTGTTTGTGTGCCTATGGATAACATCGCGTCGGATAATGCGAAAATAATGACCCTTCTATGGTTCAGTCGAGGATGTTCACGGGCTTA